CACTGTCATAGACCTCGGTGTATCTGACCTCTATGACCTTCTAGGATTCCCCAGCAAGTTCCCAGTGCTTTGCGTCAGGTCATTTTGTTGTTAGATGTTTAAGGCTCTTTATGTATACATAGACACGTATGTATGTTTGTTCTACATACATCAAAATATAAATAACATCCGGGAATCAAAAGATAGAGGAAGATCAGTCATGTGTCATCTGTCTGTCTCTGTCACAATCCTGGCAGGACACACTAAAAATATTAATAATATATCTGAAAAGAGTTTAATGAAGAGATTCTTTATAGAGTTGGGTAAAGAAACCAACAAAGGATGGGGAGGCACCAGGGACTCTGGGTAGTGGTTACTCCCAGCCCTGAAGGGCAAGAAGAATGTTTGCTGGGATCAGAGGCTGGTGAGGGCGTGGAGCCAGGGACAGGGCCACATGGAACACAGCCACACCAGGCTGCAGCAAGGGAGGAGGAGCAGAACAACTTCCCTGTCATCTCTCTCTCCTCGCGCCCTTGTTCCTTCCTGTTGCCCTGCGCTGGCTGACCCCAACCGGAAGCCAGAGGCAAGGGAGCTGAGGCGAAGCTGCCCAAGGAGGGGGTGGAGTCAGGGGCAGCCTCCCTGACCAAAGGCGAGTCTGGGGGCAAACCAAGGACAGCTGGCCTGCTCCGCCTCTGCAGCACTACTGGTCCACAGCTTACATATCAGGGAGGTGCCCCAATTTTAGGGGTTTAGGTTACTTAGGCTTTGAACAAAAGAGAGTTTTTGAGATCAATAGAATGATGGCTACATAAAAATAAAGCCCCTACATAATTAACAACATCTAGCTTGAAAAACAAGCTTAGCATGTCAATGTACCAGATAAAGGATTTCTTTTTTTTTTTGAGACAGAGTTTCGCCCTGTCGTCCAAGCTGGAGTGCAATGGTGTGATCTCGGTTCCCTGCAACCTCCACCTCCTGGGTTCAAGTGATTCTCCTGCCTCATCCTCCCCAGTAGCAGGGATTACAGGTGCACACTACCATGCCTGGCTAATTTTTGTATTTTTAGTAGAGATGGGGTTTTGCCATGTTGGCCAGGCTGGTCCCAAACTCCTGACCTTAAGTGATCCACTTGCCTTGGCCTCCCAAAGTGTTGGGATTACAGGCATGAGCTACCACACCTGGCCAGATAAAGGATTTCTTATAGTCAAATTCGTTAGAGCCCGATTCTCCAGTGAGCTCCAATTTTTACCCACCTGTTTACCTTAAATGTCTCTGGGGCAGGTAGAATTCTGAGAAGAACTTCAGGATTCCCGGCCCCTGGTGCACACATACCTCCTCTGTTTTTCAAACACTTACCGAAGTCCTCCTCTGCTTTCTTTCTTTCATTTTGAGACAGTCTGTCACCCGCACTGGAGTGCAGTTCCCCGACCAAACTGAGGGTTGGGCTGCTATTTCTCGGGGCCCAGTAATGAGATGCAGATGAACTGGGGAAGAAAAGAGTTTTTATTTTCTGCAACCGGTTACAGGGAGAATGCCTGGAAATTATTGCCAGAACAACTCAAAAATTACAAAGTTTTCCAGAGCTTATACACCTTCAAAGCTATATGTCTTTTTTGTTTGTTTGCTTGTTTTGTCTTTTTTTTTTTTTTCTTTTTGTGGAGAACAGGGTCTCGCTATATTGCCCAGGCAAGCCTCAAACTCCTGGGCTCAAGCTATCCTCCCGCTGCTGTCTCCCTAAGAGCTAGGATTATAGGCATGAGCCACTGTGCCTGGCTAAGTTACATGTCTATGTGTAGGTGTGCATTCATCTGAAGACATTAGCGATTCACTGAGGTCTGAGTCCTGAAGCCCTTCCTCTGGAGCCTCAGTAAATTTACTTAACCTAAATGAGTCCAGGTGCTGGGGTGATTACCCTTATCCCGTCTCCTGCTGGGATTACGATGTGCGCCACCACACCCGGCTAATTTTTGTATTTTTAGTAGAGACAGGGTTTCGCCATGTTGGCCAGGATGGTCTCAATCTCTTGACCTTGTGATCTGCTCACCTTGGCCAACATGGTGAAACCCCACCACTCTGGAACCTGAGGCAGGAGAGTCGCTTGAACCCAGGAGGCAGAGGTTGCAATGAGGCAAGATCGTGCCACTGCACTCCAGCCTGGCGACAGAGTAAAACCTCGTCTCAAAAAAAAAAAAAAAAAAAAAAAAAAAAAATTGAAAATAATAACACTGTTCTCATATCTGTAATCCCTGCACTTTGGGAGGCCAAGGTGGGTGGATCACGAGGTCAGGAGATTGAGGCCATCCTGGCTAACACGGTGAAACCCCGTCTCTACTGAAAAATACAAAAAATTTGCCAGGTGTGGTAGCGGGCACCTGTAGTCCCAGCTACTTGGAAGGCTGAGACAGGAGAATGGCGTGAACCCGGGAGGCGGGGCTTGCAGTGAGCCGAGATCGCGCCACTGCCCTCCAGCCTGGGCGACAGAGCGAGACTCCGTCTCAAAAATAATAATAATAATAATACTGTTATGGGCTGAATTGCTTCCTCCCAAAATTCATGTGCTGAAGTCCTAACCCCAGTACATTATTCTACCACTTGTATATGCAATGGGAAAGAAAATATATTGCTTAGCTTTGAAATCTGAGTAGCAAGCACAAAACTAGCCCTCCAAGAGAAGGTCAATATTGTCATCATTAGATAAAGATTTTCAGCGGAAAAGAAGCTGTAGAGAATTTCTGGGATATAATCTGGCCCTCATTTGGGGTGAGGTCATGAGAGAGCCCTGGGAAACGGGCTTTACTCCATTTGGGGCAGCTGTGATAGGGCTAGGACTTGCATATCTGGCAGGAATATGGTCAGAGAAAGTGGGCTGCTCTGAATTTTGCCTTTCTAAGTTTAGTGTGGCTTATACCCAGCTTTTAGGCAAACATCAAAGTAAATCATGTTGTGGGATGAAATGAAAGTACTCAGACAGACACTGAAGGGCTGTCAGAAGTCTCATGATCAAAACAAATCACATATAGAAAAGAATCTGAGGCAAGCTAACATGATTGAATTCTCAGGTTAAAAGGATAACAAAATAGCAACAGGGATTCTGATGATGATACCTCTCCTTCTCTTGGTCATGCTGGTTCAGTCTAGTTGGACTCGCTTCCTTCTAGGCTGGGGCTCTGTGCCTGCTCTGAGACATCCCCTCCCATCATCTTAGGGATCCCCTTTTCTGCTATCCCTTGCTGTATCTCTTGTTTCTTGGTTTACACTCTCGCTGAGGTTGAGTATATTCTTCAGTAGGTTTTGGCGGAAGGGTGCATGTCACATTACATGTCTGAATATGTCATTATTCTACCCTTTTTGATTGATAGTTTGGCTGGATATAGAAATCCTGGATGCCATTCTCATAGCATTTTAAAAGTTGACTACACTGTCTTCTAGCTGTTGAATGTGGCACCGTTCTAATTCATATCCTGTGTGAGTGACTGTATTTTCTACCTGAAAGCTTGTAAAATCTTTGTCCCTGGGCTGTGAAATTTCACACTGTAGTGCCTTGATGTGTAACTGTTTTCATTCATTGTGCCAGGTACTCTTTCAATCTGGAAATTTTTGTCTTTTAGTGAGAGACATTTTCTCAAATTATTTCCCTGTAGATTTCGTTTTTCTTCTTTTCTTTTTTTCTCTTTCAGAAACTTCTGTTCAGATCTAGGTTTCATCCTATTATTATTATTATTTTTCTTTTCAATCCTGTTTTCCTTCTGTCTTTTTATTTTAATTTTTGGGTGATTTCCTCGACTTTTTCATCTAACCCTTATTCTGAGTTTTAAAATTTCTACTATAATTAAGAACCCTCCAACACGCTAAACATTTATTTTTCATAGTATCTTGTTATTGTTTCTCTTATCTCTCTGAAGATATTAATGATTGGTTTTGTTTCTTAAAATCTTCTTGCATTGGTGGGGAATGGTGGCTCAAGCCTGTAATCCCAGCACTTTGGGAGGCCGAGGTGGCCGGATCACGAGGTCAGGAGATTGAGACCATCCTGGCTGATACAGTTAAACCCCGTCTCTACTAAAAATACAAAAACATAGCTAAGCGTGGTGGCGGGTGCCTGTAGTCCCAGCTACTCGGGAGGCTGAGGCAGGAGACTGGCATGAACCCAGGAGGCGGAGCTTGCAGCAAGCCGAGATTGCACCACTGCATTCCAGCCTGGGTGACAGAGCGAGACTCCGTCTCAAAAAAAAAAAAAAAAAAAAAAAGAAAAAAAAAAAGACAGAAAACTTCTTGCATGATCTGTGTTTATTCTGTGTTGTTTTCAGATGCTTGTGCATTTGTTTGCTTAGTTTGGTCCCTTTCTTCCATGTTAGATGCTTTCCTCAGACGTCTAGTAATTTTTGGCTTCCTGGATTAAGAAAGGAGGACAAAAAGGTGTTAGGAGCTCTGAGCATTTAGATGGGCTTCATGATTTTGAGCTTCACTGTAAAATAACATAAGTTGGTCTTTTATCTGCTAGGGAAACTTTGAGGTCAGCATCTTTAGGTTTTTTCCCTGAGGCAGGTTAGATACTTCTCTGTAAATTCTTCTAATTTTGGCTGGGCACAGTGGCTCATGCCTGTAATCCCAGCACCTTGGGAGGCTGAGGCGGGCGGATCACTTGTAGCCAGGAGACCAGCCTGGCCAACATGGCAAAACCCTATCTCTACTAAAAATACAAAAATTAGCCGGGCATGGTGGTGGGCACCTGTAATCCCAGCTACTCGGAAGGCTGAGGCAGGAGAATTGCTTGAACCCAGGAGGCAGAGGTTGCAGTGAGCCGAGACGGCACCATTTCACTCCAGCCTAGGTGACAGAGAGAGAGATTCTGTCCCCAACCCCCTCGCCCCCCAGAAAAAAGCAAAAAAAGAAAAGAAAAGAAAAAATGAGGGCTAACTAGGTCGATGACGCCAAACGCAAGATGCTGGGCCTACCGCGGGAGCCTGAGGGAAGCCGTGCATTCCGTTCCAAGGCATCTCTGAGCCCGCGGAGTATACGCCATGAGCAAAGCTCACCCTGCCAAGTTGAAAAAATTTATGGACAAGAAGTTATCATTGAAATTAAATGGTGGCAGACATAAGGAATATTGCGGGGATTTGATCCCTTTATGAACCTTGTGATAGATGAATGTGTGGAGATGGCGACTAGTGGGCAACAGAACAATATTGGAATGGTGGTAATACGAGGAAGTAGTATCATCATGTTAGAAGCCTTGGAATGAGTGTAAATAATGGCTGTTCAGCAGAGAAACCCATGTTCTCTCTCCATAGGGCCTGTTTTACTATGATGTAAAATTAGGTCATATACATTTTCATATTAGACTTTTGTTAAATAAACTTTTGTAATAGTCAAAAATGCTTTCTCAGATGTTCTGAATATAGAATATTAGCTCTCATTCCAATTTTTTCTAACATGAATTTTCCTGGTTGACACTGATTTCAAAGGGTTTTATGCATTAAAGTGGAAGAATCTTATTAAATGTGGAAAAAAAAAAAAAGAAAATTCTAGTTTTCTGCCTGGACACTAAATGTTTGACATCAATAGATCTGAAAGCCTAGGGGTTGAAGTGGGCTGGGTATCTTTGTGTTCAGTAAGCTGCATGCTGACAGTTACTTAGTCCTTCTGTTTTGATGTACTTCTCAAGACCTTCGACGTTGCTCTCTGTTGAGAACTCTTTCCACCAAGTGAACATCCAAGTTTCTCCCTGATAGGTGGCAAGCTCCAGCAGGTGAAAGGTGAGGGCATCTCAGGGTCTACCTGCTTCTCAAACCCCTTTCACACGAGCCCCCCTCATGTGACTCCCTACTCTTCCCTCATCTGGGAGCTTTTGGGAAATGGGGTGTCACAAGTGGGATGCTTGTGATTTCCCTAATTTCCAGCTTTCCTTTTGATCTTGGATTTGGCCCTCATAAGCCTGATGAGTCATTTTCACTCATCTAATTGCTTTCTAGCTTCAAAGTTTGTTGTTGTTGTTGCTCTTGTTTTCTTCATCTTTATGGGTTCATAGTTTATTGCTGTTTTGTTTAAATCCCTGCAATATGGCTATCACTGGATTCCAGGAATAAGCAGAGTTAAATGCATTCAATGCCACTTTAAAGAAGGACAGGGCTTGGTGCTTTATTTTAATTTCTCTGTTTTCTTGTTTTCACTCTTTGCCACTATTATGAACCTCTTGAGGATGAAATTAAATAGTAGCTAGAACTACAGATGTGCTGGGTCAGGAAGAGTAGTTGACCAGCAGTTTCTCAGCAGGGTGGGTTTGAAATTGTTCTTGGCCGGGAGTGGCGTGCTCTCTGCCTTGGCTCTGTGCTTTCCCTATTTTGGCCTGCTATCTCTTATATATGTGTGTTGCTAGGGGCTGTATTTCTCTGCAACTCACTGTATACTCAGTTTTCTTTCTTTCTTTCTTTCTTTCTTTCTTTCTTTCTTTCTTTCTTTCTTTCTTTCTTTCTTTCTTTCTTTCTTCCTTTCTTTCTTTCTTTCTTTCTTTCTTTCTTTCTTTCTTTCTTTCTTTCTTTCTTTCTTTCTTTCTTTCTTTCTTTTCTTTCTTTCTTTTCTTTTTTAAGTATTAAAAGAACTCTAATACTAGTTGAGATCTGGCTGCCCTGTAGTAAAGCTTCATAAGCTTGGTTGCCCTTTCTGCTTCTTGGTTTTTCTCTTCTCTACCTTCCTTTCCTGACAACCCCTTTCCCCATTCTTTCCTTCCTTGCTTCTGCAGATGGAGCCCTGCCTGCCCTTCCACGGGCTGCTCTCTGCTCCGTGCTGTGAACAGTTTCCCTGTGTGTCTGCTCTCAGGCTGCCAGCACTGAGAATCCTTCCATTTCAGCCTATGGGCTTTCCAGAAGAAAGCCACCTGGAAGAGCAAATTCCACCTGGAAGACTCTGTCTCTAAAAGTAATAATCATAACAATAAATTTAAAGAAAAATAAAATGGGGACATTGGGGGTGGCTTAGGGAGGGAGGGTAGAAACTTAGGGAGACCTAACACTTAAGGCCATTTGAGCTACAGGGTTCCCCCACTGATAGCTGATAGTGGTCCCCTCCGAAATTCCTGACTCTTGACTCATCCTCTGAGCAGGCACCTGAAAGGCATGAACTCATGGCCAGACCACTCTCCTTTTTTAGTTAAATGAAAATAAACTTTTTTTTTTGGGATGAAGTCTTGCTCTGTTGCCCAGGCTAGAGTGCAGTGGTACAATCTTGGCTCACTGCAAGCTCCACCTTCCGGGTTCACGCCATTCTCCCGCCTCAGCCTCCCGAGCAGCTGGACTACAGGTGCCTGCCACCAAGCCCGGCTAATTTTTTGTATTTTTAGTAGAGATGGGGTTTAACTGTGTTAGCCAAGATGGTCTCCATCTCCTGACCTCGTGATCCGCCCACCTCGGCCTCCCAAAGTGCTGGGATTACAGGCATGAGCCACTGCGCCCAGCCCTTTTGTTGTTGTTGTTGTTGTTGTTGTTGTTGTTGTTTTTGAGTCGGAGTTTTGCTCTTGTTGCCCAGGTTGGAGTGCAATGGCAAGATCCCGGCTCACCGCAACCTCCATCTCCCGGGTTCAAGCGATTGTCCTGCCTCAGCCTCCTGAGTAGCTGGGATTATAGGCATGTGCTACCACACCCAGCTAATTTTGTATTTTTAGTAGAGCTATGTTGGTCAGGCTGGTCTCGAACTCCCGACCTCAGATGATCAGCCCACCTCGGCCTCCCAAAGTGCTGGGATGACAGGCGTGAGCCACCATGCCCAGCCAAAAATAAACTTTTTATATTTTTCCTATTGCAAAAGTTGATGCATGGTCATATAAAAAATGTAGAGAAATAGTAGAGAAGCAAGAAAGTAAAATCAGCTTTAATCTATAGATAATTACTGATCATTGACCATGCTTTGGTGTACACTGCATATACTGCCAGGGCTGCTGGCTGTCTCTGAGTATGTGTGTGTGTGTGTCTGTGTGTGTGTGTGTTTGTCTCCATGTACATCTACTATCATCATTGCTGTGTTCACATGAAATGACAGGTGAGTTTCCTTCAAATCATATCTAAACTGGATACTGTTGGAATTGATTGATCACTCAGCCACACTCTAAGGAAGGTAGGATCTCTTCTGGAAGCCTTTTCCAACCAAATGTGTCAGTTCATCTTCCAGGAAGAATAGCAGCAGCAGTCACACAGCAGAGGAGCAGGGCTGCAGGGATTCTGGCTCCCTGGCTCCCTCCTGACCTTTGCTTCTGGGCCATGACTCGCCTGGCTGTTTGAGGTGGGCCACCCCATTCATTGCTACCATTCATGATTCGGTATGACTTCAGCTCAACAGTTACACTGAAGCCAGGAATTAAGGGGCAAGTACTAGGCTGTTTCCTCGGCAACCCAGCTTCTGCGGGCAGTTGTTGTGGCCACTGATGATCCACAGTTACTACCGCGGGGCAGAGCACTCAGTAGAATGAACTAAAATGAGCTTTTTCCAGGGGCCATTGGCAGAAATCTAATTCAGAGAGTTGCTTAGGAATCCTCTGGTCCTCAGGTCAGGGAGACCAAGGAAACTTAAAAGACACACTTCTTCTTTGTGGCTTTCATACCTGCAGGCACTTCCTCTCGTCCCCGCTGCCCGCAACCCAGGGCTTCCCTCCTAAACCACAGATCTGAGGGCAACTGTGCTCTTGGTTAAACGGCCTTTGACACTTCCTTGAACGGAGAACAAAGCCCAGGTTCCTCAACAAGCCATTCCGGAAACCCATCACTGACCCCAAGTGGGCTCTTGGTTGCTTCTCACTGTATTATTATTTCTGGTCCAGCCTCACCAGAGACCCACCTTGCTAGAATCACAAAGCATTCCCTGCAAACTTGGCTGAGGACATTTTTTCACTTTACTTTCAAATTTGACTGCCTAGCCGTCAAAGGCTTAGTTAAAACAATAAAAAGTTCTACTTTTAATAAAGTTCTCCTATTGAACCTCGCATCATTTTCATTTGTCTTTGTTTTCTTCTCTTTAATTGTTAAATGATCCTTTTTGGGGCAGAAGGGACTCAATCCTTTCCCAATAGCAGCGTTTCAATGTGAGAAACAATGCATTATGTTTATGATTTCCAGGTTTATGTTTTAAAAATTTTTTTTTAGAGACGGGTGTCTTGTTATGTTGCTCAGGCTAGACTCAAACTCCTGGGCTCAAGCAACCCTCCTACTTCAGCCTCCCAAGTAGCTGAGTCGACAAGTGCATGCCACCGTGCCTAGCCTCATTTCCAATCTTAACTTAATATTTGGCATACTTTATAATTACGTTGTGTCATTGGATGCCCACAGCCCCCGAAATTAGTCAGACTAGGGTTGAGTGAGTGAGGGTGACTTGGGAATAAACAGAAGGATTCAGATATGAGGGATTTTGAGTGGATTGATTTTGTTTGTTTGTTTTTCAGACAGAATCTTCCTGTCTCCCAGGCTGGAGTGCAGTGGCATGATCTCGGCTCACTGCAACTTCCGCCTCCTGAGTTCAAGCAGTTCTCCTGCCTCAGCCTCCTGAGTAGCTGGGATTACTGGCGCCAGCCACCACATTTGGCTAATTTTTGTATTTTTTTGTATTATTATTAGTTTTTTAGTAGAGACGGGGTTTCACCATATTGACCAGGCTGGTCCTGAACTCCTTACCTCGGGTTATCTGCCTGCCTTGGCCTCCCAAAGTGCTGGGATTACAGGCTTGAGCTACCACTCATGGCCATGAATGGATTGCTTTTGAATGTGGCCAATGCACAGGTGTTTATGACATTATAATTTACTTTATTTGTAACCTGCAAGGTTACCAGGAATTATAAATACTTAGATAAGGCACTCAGTGTTTCTTTGTCATTGTTTATACATTTAAAAAATTTTAATATACAACTGTGAATATATGTATATGTGTGTGTGTATGTGTGTATAAGCTCATTGTTTTTCTTTTTTCCTTTATATTATCTCATAGGATTTTTCTCATGCTATTACACAGGTTTTATAAATGTTTTAATGGTTATATTTCAGTCTACCATATAAGTGAGCTAATTTGACTCAACTATTACTCTAATAATATCTTAAATTGTTTCTAAGGAAAATTCTTAAATTGTTTAAGTAATAAAGATATAATTTTGTACATTAAGTTTTTCTGTCTTTTCAGATTATTTAAGGATCAATTCAGAGAAGTAGAATTAGTGGGTTAATGATCACAACATCATTTTAAGGTATTTTCTTTTAATCACAGAATTACACCAAATTATCTTCCCTTTAGCAGTTACATTGCAGTCTAGCCATTGAATATGGATATTCATATATGTAACCTTTTTCAAATTCCGCATGCAAAATGGAGATTATTATTGTTTTAATTTGCATTTGATTTACAGTATGGTAGAATATAGTTTCTCTTTAATTAATTTTATTTGTAAATAGTTTGTTTATGTTTACTGCCCTCACTGAACTTCAGGGTCATGTTTGCCTTAACCAATGTGCACAAATCATTAATGTTAAGGTTA